CGTCGACTAATTGATCATGTGAAGAGACGTGTGAGACACGTAAAGCTCCGTCTTGCACCAATCCACGGATGAAGTGATAGTCAATAGCCACATGTTTCATGCGAGAGTGAAATACGGGATTTGCACAAAGGTATGTAGCTCCCACATTGTCACAATATATCATCGGTTGGGAGGAGATTGAAATACCGAGTTCGGAGAGAAGAGATGTGATCCACCAATCCTCAGACGTTGTTGATGCTACAGACTTGTATTCGGCCTCGGTGGATGATCGCGCCGCAATTCTTTGCTTCTTAGAGGACCATGAGATAGGATGGTTACCGAGGTATACAATGTGAGCACTCGTTGAAGTGAAGTCATCCCAGTTACCACCCAATCTGCATCGGATAAAGCATGTAGACAAGGAGAGTTGGATGCCGACATGAAGATACCGAGACGTGTGGAGCTGGCTAGGTAGCGGAGGACTCTCTTTGCCGCTTGCCAGTGTTCCGCTGTGGGCTTGAGCATGATACGCGAGAGCTTATTCACTGCAAAGGAGATGTCCTGTCACGTAAAGTGAAGGCATTGAAGACTTCCAACCACGTTCTAATATTCCAGTGGATCGTATAGAGGAACTCCCGCATTCAACGTAAGAGATGTTGTCGAAGACATCAGTGTTGATACGGGCTTGGCGTGGACCATGTTTGTGCGCTGTAGAAGGTCGAAGATATACCTCTGCTGCGTTAAATAGAGATCGTCGCCTGTGGTGGAGACTTCGAAGCCAAAGAAAAAGGAGAGGGGACTGAGGTCCTTCAAGGAGAACTTGGCCGAGAGCATTGTGATAAACCGCTGGCAATGATCGGAGCTATTGCCGGTAACAACAGTATCATCAGCATAAATGAGGAGGAAGATAATGATACCGTCATTGTTGAACACGAAGAGGGATGTATCGGCAAGAGAGTTGGTGAATCCCGATCTAAGAAGAAAATCCTGCAAATCATTGCACCACGCACGTTGTGCTTGTTTGAGTCCGTAGAACGCTTTGTGTAGTTTGCACATGAGATGGACGGTCATTTTCAACGAAGCCGCGTGGTTGAATCACATAGACATCATCACGGAGACGACCTTGGAAAAATGCACTGTTGACGTCTAGTTGACGAAGAAGCCAACGACGAGTGGTAGCGATGCTAAGGACGAGTCGGACGGTTGCGGGTTTGATCACCGGTGAGAATGCCTAATGATAATCGATATTGAGTCGTTGATGAAATCTCTTTGCAACCAGCCGAGCCTTGCATCTATCAAAAGAACCATCAACACGACGTTTAGTCCGGAAAACCCATTTACAACCAACAATATTGTAAGTCTCCTTCATGGGAACGAGATCCCATGTGTCGTTTTTTACTAGAGCGTTAAACTCCTCTGTCATTGCCTGTCTCCAATGAGGTGATTTTAGAGCTTGGGACACTGTCGTGGGTTCTATATCTGGGTTCGGTGAGGTGGTGGAATGGTTGGTATATTTGTGGGATGGTTTGGAGATATTGTTTTTGGATCTAGTGGTCATAAGATGTGTGTTGGGGGGTGATCGTTGTGTGTGTGAAATAGGGTCCGATGATGGAGAAGGTGAGGTTGATGATTGGGTGACTGGTTGTCGGGATGTGTCTGGAGGTGTGAGTTGTGGTGATGACGGTGGTAGAGATGGTGGAGAGGTTGGATCCGAGAGTTGGGTTGTTGACGGGAAAGTGTCAAGGATCGGCGAATTTTCTCGTTGCGGGAGCACCTGTAGCCATGGACAAGAGAGAATGGCGGAGATTGAAACAATGAGGGGAGCTCGTCGAGTGGTACAGACGATGGTTTGGAGAGTGTAGTAAAAAGGAAGGTCGACTCAAAGAATGTAACATGTCTAGATGAGTAGATAAAACGTTTTTGGATCAAGACAAAGAAAGGAGCTTTGTGTCAAGGAGTAACCGAAAAATACGCATGGAGTTGGCCGGAGATCCAATTTATGATTGGAGTAAGGTCTTAACCATGGGAAATAAAGACCACAACCGAATGTTCAGAGTTTTGTATAGTTTGGACTTGTCGTAAAGAGACTCTCATAAGGGGATTTGCGGTTAAGAACTTTTGTTGGAAGCCGATTAATGTGATAAACGGCTGTGGGAAATGAGAATGTCCAATACTCAATGGGAATTGAAGCTTGGGAAAGGAGTGTTAGACCCATCTCAACGATGTGTCTATGTTTTCTGTCCGGAATCCCATTGTGTTCGGGTGTATGAGGAGGAGTGGTGAGGTGAATGATGCCGTGTTTGGAAAGAAAGGAACGGAGAGCGATGTACTCATCCCCATTATCCAAATATAAGGTTTGGATCGAGAGTTTGAAACGGTTTTCTACAAGAGACTTGTATCTCGGAAAGATTTCGAACACGTGATATTCAACGAAGATGATAGAACCATGTATACCGTGTATAATGGTCGACAAAAATCACATAGTATTTGAAATTATCAAATGAGGTGACCGGGGATGTCCAAACATCGGAAAACAATAATGACACGTGTGGGCGTGAGACTCGAAGAATAAAATGGAAGCTTATGTGTTTTGTTGATAGAACAAGAATGACAAGACAACTCGTGAGAGTGTTTAGACGGAAGAGAAAATGACATAATGACTCGACTAACGACTTCGGCGGATGGATGGCCTAACTGAGAGTGCCAATCCGAGAAGGAAGTCTTTATTGATTAAAAAACTTTAGGGGACTGAGAGAAAGAGAGATGGGCTGTGGCCACTTATAAACACCATCCTTAAGTGTTCCGGTTGTGCTCCCGTTTCAAGATCCTTCACCTAAAAATACAAAGGGAAAAATTCCACTGAAACTTTGTTAGAGTTACAAAGTTGGTGAATTGATAATAAGATTCTTTCTAAGGCTTGGTACACATAAGATATTGGTTAAGGAGAATGGGTAAGAGTTAGAGGTGAGGGATATAGCACACGAATGTGTGATAGGATGGTTTGAACCATCACCAAGCTCAACATCATCTCCACCGGAATAAGGAGCATGCAGAGAGAGATTGGCCAAGTCTGACGTGATGTGGTGCGAGGCATCGAAATCTAATAGCCATGTAGAAGATGTCGGCGGAGTAGCAAGAGATATGTTATGTGCTCGAGTTTCCACAACGAGGGAGACGGTGATGCCGGGGATTGATACATGAGCAGGCCACCAGAAGAACGGAGGAGATGACACCGTTTGGCGTTATGACCATGTATGCCGCAAAACTGACATTTTCCTTGGTAGCCTTGAGAAGGCCTATGGTTGTGTGGAGCAGAAGAATCCGATGTTGATCTCGATTGGTTCTGCCATGGTGGACGGTAAGAGGCTCCTTGGGGTTGGGATTGTGTGTCGTTGGCTGTTGGGTTTTCCAGGGATCTCTAGAGCGAATCCTATTCCTAAGAGATCGATTCCAGGGTTTGCGCAGCGGATATAAAACAAAAATTTGAATAAAACCCTAGAACCATGCATGCATGCTTACGTAAAAACATTAGAACGCTTACCTCAATCGATCTGGGGCCTGTATCAATCGAAGAGTTCGTCCGATCATGAAAGGGAGGAAGATTACCTCGCCCTCTACACGTATCCAACCTCGGGATGGATTCCAACGATTGGAACTTGTCTACTAGGACCCGAATCTGCTATTCCGTATGATGCTTCGAGAAAACGAGACTTGGAAACTCTTGGATTCTTAAATCTCACCAAAAACTGTCAAAAGTCTGCCCCAAACGGCTGCCAAAGTCTCTCCCTTAATTAGGGTTTTAATCTCTTTCTTATAAGGTGATTTAACTCTAATTTCGGTCTAATTTTCGAAAAATCCAAAAGCCGGAACGGACGGTCCAGGAATGCACGTGGACCTCCGTTCCAGCAAGCCAGAACGGACGGTCTGCTTCAACGGACCGTCCGTTCCAGACCTTCTAGAACGGATGGACTGCGTTCTGGACCGTCGGGTCTGGACCTGGCGGACCGTCCGGTCCGCCCTTCTGGTCTGTCTGTTCCACACCCTCCCGTCTCGGTTTTTCTGTCGTTTTCTCGTGCGTCCTTCCCTGCGTGTGTGACCCTGTAGGCTCATTCGATATAGCAGTATAACCCGAAATCTCTATTTCGGATATACAAGTCATAGACGGTCTCTAGAAAGACACTATGACTACCTATCTCGAATAGAGTTTGTTCGTGATCTTACGAACGCCAGTGATGGTTCCG